TTCTCCCCTAAAACGGTTTATAATCTGGCCGAGATGTCACATACGGCAGTCACAACAGAGGAGTTATGTCCCTCAAAGAGGAGCACACCCAAAGACTGGACTGTTAAAAATATCCTGACCTGTGCCAGGTGTGTAACATGATCTCATTGAATCCTCAACAGAACTTTGTAAGGTTAGTGCTATTATTATTATTATCGCCGTGAGAAAACTGAGACATACAGAAGCTAAGGAACTTGTCCAAAGTTAATGGATTAGTTACTGTCCAAACTTGGATTTGAACCCAGGATTTTTTTAACCCCTGTTACATTGTTTCTTAAAGGCAAACATCACTAAAGAACAAATTTAAATCTGAGCCCAGCATTTGTAAGTACTTGCTATGGACACAGATATTACTGTGGAGACAAAATGACAAACATAACAGCCACTAACACACATGGAAATGATGGAGACACAGTAGGAATACTCAGCTCTCTCCTTCAAATGAGTACAAACCCAGCTTCTTGGGGAGCTAAGGATCCCACACAAGAATGTCCTGTTTGTGTGTGTTTATAAATCCTTGACCCATACTGCACTGAGAAACTGGATTTTCCCACCCTCCCAAAGAGAAAATTCTCACTGCCGAATTGCTGAGAGGCTCAAGCAAAGGGTCAGAGGTAAAGCAAAAACCTACACTCACCTGGACAACAAACCAGGGCAGAGATAAACACACAGACACTGGGCCCACCCCAACATAGTCATGGAACCACAAAGTCATCTCCCCCACCCCAACCCATACACACATCTGCACCACACCTTCTTCCCCCTTCCTCCCCAGAACCAAGATCTGCACCCCATGGTGGACCATGTGTGTGTGTGTGTGTGTGTGTGTTTTCTAAACCCTCCCCTTACCCTGGCTGAGCCCACACTCCTGCCCCAGTTCTCAAGGCCTATGCCAAGGGGGTGGCACAGTTGTTCAAGAATAGGGGAGTCACAATGCCACTGGGGCCTTGGCACAACCTAGCCCTGACCCCTGAGAGGACCCTGCCATTTCTGCACCCAGGACTAGTGCCAGCTGCCACCTACTCTGGAATACCATGCATGGATCCCTCTGAGCTGGAATCCCCTCCGACCTCCCTCCCCTGACAAGTTCTTTTGTTTCCCCAGGCCCATGGGGTGGGTGCCTGGGCTCCTTCCCCATTCTTGTCCTCTGTTCCCAGCCAGCAAGAGGGGACTGCTGGAGCAGAAGTGTCTGGAGGGAGCAGGGGGCTGAGGCAAGCCCCACTGTGTGATATCACTTCTTCCCCAACCTGAGCAGCTTGGTGGGGGTGGGCAAGTTGAGGGTGGCAATGGCAACAGTTTGGGTAGACAAAAGTCTAAGGGTGAGTATTGTAGATGAGCCTCAGGGGGCGACAGGTGGTTAGCACCAGGCGACTGCCCCTTGAGTCACCGAGGTTAAGCAAAAGGCAGATTTGGAGAATAGGTCATTCATAGGTTTGTCTAGACACAGCTCTGAGTGAAGAAAGAAGGAAGTGATAATAACTAACACTTACTGAAAGGCCGCTTTGTATTGGACACTGTCACCCACATTCTGCACACATTTACTCATTTAGTCTTCACATAAAACCCAGGTGGTAAGAACAACCCCAGGTGGTTATCGGTAATTTACAGATGGGAAATAGGTACAGACAAGTTACGTAATTCACCTTAAGTTCATACAGGGAGTGAATGGTAGCACCCAGGCAGGCACAGTGGCATATGTCTGTAATCCAGTAACTCAGGAGGCTGAGGCAGGAAGATGGCAAGTCCAAGAAGAGTCTTGGCAATTTAGCTAGACCTTGTCTCAAAATAAAGAATACGAAGGGGCTTAGGATGTAGCTCAGTGGGAGAGCACCCCTGAGTTTAATCTCCAGTACCTTGCCCCCAAAAAGGTAGCACCTAGATGCAAATGCAAACTGACTCCCAAACTCAAGTTTTCTGAAAATTCTTCCTTCTGCTTCCCTAACCTGCACACATTTATTTATATGTTCACATATGCGCATGTGCGTGTTCTCTCTCTCTCTCTCTCTCTCTCTCTCTCTCTCTCTCTCTCTATCTGGTGTCTATACAACCTTTTGAACTAACTATCTTTTCCCATTAATGTGCTCCAATTTCTAGCACATAGTGAGTGTTCAATAAATGTTTTGTTGAATTAATGAATCAATGAACAGTGTCAGAGACCCAGGACATGAGGAGACCATGAGGTCATGTGGTGGATTTGAGGGAGAAAGACTAGGAAAGATTTTATGCACACACACCTAGCCCTCCACCTTGGATAATGTTGAAGACTCACTTCCAACTCTGAGGCCTTTCAAACTCACCAGGTGGGGAAAGAGCAATGGAACCCAGCTTCCCAGGATGCTCTGAGGAGAAGGGGCTCCACTCTCCCCTCCAATCAGAACAGAAGGCAGTGGGGTGTGAGGAGAGCTCTGGGAAGATGGGAGACATGGTCACCCCAGACTTCTCAGCTAAGTTCAGTTCCTCCTGTGTTTTCAGCCTCCCTGGGGGCTGCAGGATCTTTCCTGGCCTCCCTGGGGGCTGCAGGCTCTTTCCTGGCCTCCCTGTGGCCAGCTCTTGCTTCCTCCACTTGTCCACCTGGGCCCTGCAGGAACCCGGCACCCCTGGGCTATTCTGGCTGAAGAGTGGACAATTCCCTTTTTGCCTCGTCCAACTGAAACAAGTGTGGAATTTTTCCAAAGCCTCTCTATTAGAAAAGTAAATGGAAAACAAAGCCAGAAATAAAGATTGCAAAACAAAGAAACAGATGGAACAGTGGGGGTGAGTGAGCCGGCCATGGGAGCGAGTGTGATCCCAGCGTCCTGATGCTAAGTGACTGACCCTCGCTCACTCCCCCCACCCCCACAGCACCCTGTCCTTGGCCCTTGCATCTCCCACTCTGTGTTGTAGTTAAGGAGGCTTGCTTCTGTCTGCCTCTCCGTCTTGGCGGTGAGCTTCTCAAGGCCACGGTTAACTCTCTTCTGCTCTGTCCCCATGCCTAGCCCAGTTGCCTGGCAAGGACTAGAATCTCCCCAGACATTTACAGAATGGCTGGCTGAGCCAGGGAGTGAGCAGGGAGTGGGGGACACGAGAGGGAATCTGGGTCTTTTTCTCTTTGGTGGCCATATGGCCTCCATAGTGGGCACCCCTCTTTCCCAAGTCCATCTTCACCGGCCACTTCCACCCACAGCTGAAAGTTTCTCCTTTCTCCTCTTTCAGAACCCAAACTCTCCATCCCTCAAGAAATAACCCAGGCCAGCTTCCTGGGCAGCCGAGGAAGGGCTGGGCTCTGTCCTCTGGGGAGGGAAGGTGTGGGAGATCGGATCCAGCTGAAAGAGAAATTGCAATCCAAAGGCCACAACATTGGAAATAGAGGGCAGAAAATAATGGCTAACATTCATCAAGCGTTGCAGTTCTCAACACAATTGGATGAGTTAGAGCTAGCAAAGAAATCGAAGCTCAGAGAAGCTAAAAACAAACAAATGTCCAATTAGTAGCCGGCCTAAGATTTCTTTTCTAGGCACTTCTAACTCCACAGCACAAGTTCTTAGCCATGTGACAAAGCTTCATCTTGCCTAATTCAAATCATCTTAGGAAGAAAGAGCGAGAGGGGGGAGGGGGTAACAAGGGTGTGGAGGTCCAATCAGCTGCAAGGCCAAGGTGATGGGGAATCCAGGACAGCAGGACTGACCTCTCAAGGTGCTGCAAATCGTCAAGGAGGACCCCAGTCCCAAAGTATTCCTGGGGAAAGGGGACAAGACAGAACAAATCTAAAAGTTAGGGGATAAGGTGTGTTACCCATCAGGAATTTAGGTGCAAGAAATAACGTCTCTTTGTACCCAGTGAAGATCTTAAAAAATCTGTGGAGCTGGGACTTCAGAACCAAGCAGCAAAACATTGCACAGAGCTGGGTTTCCCAGCTCTGTATCCTGGATCCCACTACTGGCTTTCTCTAGCCTTAGTTTCACTTAAGTTTTCATCATATTTAAAATGAGAATCATCGTAGTACTGAGTTCATCATTTTCTGAGGATTGCTGTTGAGGGAAATGATGAAAAAAGCTGGGGCTCAGGGGTAGAGTGGGATCCGTGACCAGGAGAGGAGACCCTTCTAAATGGGTCTTTCCATTTCCTGTGACCCCCTAGGGAGAGGGTAACCTAGACCCCCCTGCTTCCTACCACACCCTCCTCAACTCTTCACAATTTGATTTCTAAATTTGACCTACCATAGAAATGTTTTTGACCTTTGAAAGGTCAAAAAAAAAAGTGCCCAACTTTCATTTCTCCTTAGCATCTGAAATCTGAAACTGATAGGGTTTCTTTTTGCCCCTTAATCCTTTTTCTCTCTCAGCTGTCAGGTCCCATGGCTTCATCGAGTTCTCCCATCTCTCTGCCCCTCCATATTCCAGACCTTCTGTTCTACCCTAGGTGTTGCCCAGAGTTCTCTTCAAGACCTTTGACCTGTTGTCCTCTGGCTCCTCTACCTTGGCAAATCTCCTCCTGTTGAGTGGTCACCTCTGTGGAGGTGACTTCCGTGGCCAGTGCTCTCTCCCAAGCTCTGGTCTCCATTCCCATTACTCACTGGTCACCTTCTCTACCTGCCAGGGCTACCTCAAACTTAACAACCCAAAACACAACTTGTGGCTTCTCTCCTGAGTGACCTCCTCTCTTCTCTACCTTGTTTGAGTTGACTTTGCATCCCCAACTCCCTGACCCCCAGCTCCTTCCTCCTTTACCCTGATATCCAATCAGCTACCAAGTCCTAAAATCCTGTCTCCTTGAAGATCCTTCCCATTCACCCCTGTCTCCTCTCTGTCATCGTCCCATCTTGTCCTCCAGAGCTTTACCATCTATAGTCCCCACCTGTCCCACCCTTTCAGCCCCCCACACCCATGTATGCACACACTCATGTACACACACACACATACACAGCAATCAAACGAGCCTTCCTGGGCTACAGTTTGAATGAGATTACGCCCCTGCTCAGAAACTTTAAATGGTTCCATATTGTTTATAGCGATGTTTCTCAAACTTGCTTGATGGTAAAAATACAGACTCCCACTGCCCACCTCCACCCTCATGAATCAGAATCTCTGAGAGACGTGCCTGCTGTTTTATATTTTTAACAAGCATCCAGGTGACTCTTATCATCAGAGCCTTTTAGGAAACACAAGCGTTTAAAATGACAGGCGTTCAGGGCCCATGATTTGGCTCCAACATCCTCTTCCAGTATCTCCATGTTTCTCCTTTGGGCTCTGGGTACTGCGCCGTCTGCCTGTGCTCAGGCTGTTCCCTCTCCTTTTTCTCTCTGAGCCAGATCTCTGTCATGGCCTAACTAGAATGTCACCTCCTCCACGAAGACTTTCCTGAATCTTCCAACTAAGAGCCATCTTCTCCTTCTTGCCATCTTCCTGTGGATTAAAAACAGTGAGCAGCCAGCACCTGGCAGGGCCTTGGCTCACGGCTACTGGGGATTGATTGGCCCTCTTCCCTCCCCTCTATCTTCTGGTACACTCCTCCTGTCATCTTTGAAGTCAGGGATTTCTGCTCTTGTGCTCCTGGAGACAAGGACCCAGAGTGGATCCTTCTCTTCACAGCATGAAGATTAAATGTTCAGACTCTGGAATCAAACTGACTAGGTTTGAATCCCAGTCCCCCTTAGAACTACTTAGAATTTGTGTGTCTCTGCTTCCCCATCTGTTTTTATGAGGACCAAATTAAGCAATGCATGCTGTCTCCCTCCCTTCTGGAGGCTGGGAAATCTAAGACCAAGGTGCCAGCAGATCCCATATCTAGTGAGGGAGGGATCACTTCCTGGTTTACAGATGCCCCCCCCCCCTCTCTGCCATCACATGGCAGAGAGCAGAGAGGGAGCAAGCTGTCTCCTGTCCCTCTTCTTTTAAGGGCCTAAACCCATCATGGGGGCTGCACTCTCATCATCTAATTACCTGTCAAAGGCCCCACCTCCTGACACTCTCACATTAGGGGTTAAGGTTTCAACTGGGGGAGGTGGGGGGCAAGCATGTAGTGTCCTGGTCGACTCACCATTAGCTGTGATGAGCTAGAGATCTCGGTGGCAATCAGGCTCAGTGACTCTCAACCCTGCCTGCCCATTGAATCATCTGGGGAACCTTTGAAAAATGCTTAGGCTTGGGCCCTACCTCAGACAAACTGAAATAGGATCCCTAGGGGTGAGACCCAGGCATGGGGCACGAAGATGCTGCTACAGATGAGAATTCTTAGCTAGTCCAACTACCTCACTGAGTTAATGTGAGGTAAAGGATCCAGTCAAGCATACAAGGTACGTTTGTGGTGGAACAAGTCCTCATCAAAAGCCTCTGCCCACTGTCCCATCCAGTCCAGAGTGACTTCCAACGTGCCAGGGCTGGGTCTTTGCTCAGGACCAACCTGGGTCAGGCGAGGACCAACCTCAGCTGTATCAGACCATGGTGGGGACCCTAGAGAGGGCCAGGTGGGAAACAGAGACATGGAGCAGCCTTGTGCCTTCAGTGCTCCCTTGGATCCACCAAGATCTCTAGCTGACGGTTAGTTGACCAGGACACTCCAGTACCCAGAGCCCAGAGGAGAAACACGGAGATACTGGAAGAGGTTATTGGGGCCATATCATAGGCCTTGAAGGCCTGTCAAGCTTAAGGAAATGGGGAAAGGGAGTCCTCAAGAGCTAGGAGCTGACCCTGAGAAGACTGGCTCAGGGATGGGATGGAGGGATGTGGTGACCTAATGGAGGGATGTGGTGACCTAATGGAGGGATGTGGTGACCTAATGGCATGGGATCATGAACAAAAGAGCCATGAGAGTGGGAACCTTGCTTGCCTGGGTCGTAGTTGTCTCTCAAATACTCACGTAGAATATGGTGCACAGTAAGTGTCCAGCACGTAGACTGAATGTCTGAATGATGCAATAGCTGTCAGAAAGAGAATGTACTGTCGACGAAGTCTCACACACACACACACACACACACACACACACCCGGGAAGTGATGGGAACTTCCAGACAGGAGCACTAGAGCAGAAGGATCCTGGACTTTCAGAGAAACTGAGGTGCCGAGGAGGCCAAGCTCCCTGGAGTTCGAGGAAGAGTCCATTCTGTGGGAGGAGGGCCATGTCTTCGCGTGCCAGATGTTTGCAGGGCATCCTGTCCTAGTTGGGTGTCCAGAGGCCAAAGGGAACAGGCAGATAAACAGAGCTACATCCTGGGCTAAGTGGAAGGGGCTGGTAAGGGAGGAAAGAGGAGGCTGGGGACCAAGCCAGGCTGCCTCTTGATAGGCGGAGCAAGGAGGCGGGGTGCTCCGGGCCAGGGCCTGGGTCAGATCTCTGGCCAAAGCAAACCTTCCTCACGGGCTTAGGGGCCAGTTCCCTCCCTGCCCAGATGGAATCAAAGGCAAACAGGAACCCTGCAGGGCCCAGCTGTGACCCTTGCCCCCCATACTCAGCAAGACCCAATTAACCCGGTCCTCCTCCTGTGCCCTAACATCCTCTTATTTGGTATTTGCTCTGTGGATACCAGCCAAGAGCCCTTCTCCCCAGACCCCATCACCCCCCCCCCCCCCCCGTCATGGCATCTCCCTGTAAGAGACCAAGGCAGTGTTAGCTCAAGTCCTAAGTCCTTCTTGGATTCTATGCCAAGAGTTAAAGGGACAAGGCTCGTTTCCGTGGGCCACATGCAGGTAAACAGGGCAAGAGCACTGCGCCCTGGTCTCCTTCCCAGCAGGTCTCCAGGTAGTGGTTCTCACGCAGGTAACTTTGCTGCCTCCCTGAGCTGAGGAGACGGCAGCCGAGAACAGGATCGCGGCATCATCAGTGCTGGAAGAGGACCTTCAAGGTGTCCCAGTGCTGCTCCTTGTCACTCAGACAAAGACACCAAAGCCAGAGTGGAGCAGCCTCTTGTCCAAGCTTGCTCAGGTGACTCGTGGCCTCGCTGGGACCAACCTCAGCTGACCTGACTGTAAAAGATCATGGAGGGGGGACCCTAGAGAGGGGCAGGTGGGAAACAGAGACTCAGAGCAGCCTTGTACCTTCATGCCTGGGGAAAGAGGTTGACACCAAAGACTCTTTCCTTTTCCTCCCTTGCATTTCCACCTGCGTGTCTAGGTGGGAACACAACATGGAGCTCTCCAAACCCAGAAAGGAGTAAGGAATGGAGCAGAAATAGAGAGACTGAGGAAAATACTCCTGAGTGCTTTCTTCCCCTTCTGTTTTCTTCCCCAGCCCACCCTACCCGCAAGGATTGAACCCAGGGATGCTCTGCCACTTAGCTACATAGGCAGCCCTTTTTATTTTATTTTGAGACTATGTTTCACGAAGTTGCTGAGGCTGGCCTCCAACTTGCGATCCTCCTGCCCCAGCCCCCACAGTTGATGGGATTACAGGTGTGCACTACCATACCTGGCTTTTCCTCCTCTTTTCTAAATTCTAGGTAAAAGGCTTTCACCATTTAAAAAAGACAATAAAAATAATCTGACAGACCTAAGGAGAGACATAGGAAAAATGACAGACCTAAGGAGAGACAAAGGAAGAGATTCTAGAATCTTGTTTGATGGACTAAAAAAAATTAAGGACCAGGAAGAAAACAGGGACAGTCGTAAAGGAAGAGACAGACAGAAAATCCAATGCCATCCTGGTGGGCCAGTGGGGAAACTGAGGCAGCAACGGGCTAAGACAGCTACTCTGTGGCTCTGAGCCCACCAAGAGTTCACGACAGCCTGAGGGAGTGGGAGGGCAGAGGACAGGGAGGAAGGGGGGATGAGAAGGCATCTCTCTTGGACATTAGTCAAGGCCACCCCTGGCCTTCCCAGATTCCCACATAACCCATCCCCTAAAGATGGCCTCCTCTTGGAAGCAGAAGACTCCACTATGTCCTCACAGGGCCCAGAAGCCTGGTCACAGTGGCAAGATGACAGCCCCTAAAGAAGAAAGGGAAAGGAAAGGGTGGAGGGTGGAGGAGGAGGGGGAGAGGGTGCCCAGCAGCCTGGCGCAGAGGTAGCAGCGCCCAGGAGTAGTGCTGGCTCAATCCAGGACTGGGGCAGAGGAGTGGGGTGAGGGTGGGAGGAGGGACTGTGGGGGTGACGGAGACTCCCAGGCTTCCTTCCCTCCCTCCATCCCTCCCACTCTCCTTTCATGATCTTGAAACAACCTTCAAGTCTGGGCTGGAAGCCCCAGGAGGCCAGTCACTTAGGAAACAGAACTGTTTCTTGGAGACCTTGCAGCCCATCTGCAGCTGAGCAGCGCCCACCCCTCCCCCGTGCACAGACTCATTCTCCCATGGACGCTCACGTACGCCCACGCCCGCCCGGCTGCACCGAGTTCCTCGCTGGCCCACACACAGGCACGCACGCCCAGTCACACGTGGCAGGCCACACACTCATACACAGATAGCTGATCTGTAATTGATTGATCACTCATCCAAGAGAGTGCTGCCCTTTTCTTTGGACTTGGAACGTACCCACAGACAGGACTCTTGTGTCCCTCACTCATTAACTAGCACAGACACACAGCCAAATGCATTCCTCTGCCTCTCTGACTCCCCGTTACTGTCCCAGCTCTCTGACATGCACACATCCCTGCTTCCCAAACCTTCCTCTACCAACCAAGCTACTCTCCATACTGCCCCATGCGGACCCCTTTCCAATCTTTCTGATCTGAGACTTTCTCTCCAGTGTGGTCATCCCGGCTTCCCACATCCTGCCTTAGAGTCTTTTTGTCTCTTTCCTTTGCTCCTCTCAACAACAGGGCCTTGATCCAAATGGGCACCTCTGTCTGGGTTCACAGGAAGCAGCAGCCTGACCCAGGCACTAGATCAAAGCACCGGGTATCTGCAGCAGCTTGTGTCCTGGCGTGGGGTTCATGGTGGGCAAGCAGATGACCTCCCAGAGCCTCAGCTCTCGTGGGCAGGGGATTGTCAGTGAGGCTTGGGCGAAAAGTGAGCCTGGGGTGCCCTGTCCACCTCTCACTTGTTGGGTCCTCAAGTTTGCGAGCAGCAGTAACCTTGAGGGCATGGCAGGGCATGGCAAGAAGCCCAGCAGGCTGTATGGGCAGAGGAAGAGCCAGCCCTTTCCGGTATTGAGCCTGGCTCCAGGGACGAGAGCCAGGGCTTGGGAAGGACTGGGCAGTACTTGGAGGTGCCAGCAGGGATGAGAGGGGTGGAATACCAATGGCTGGAGTCCAAGCCACATTCAGGTTCTGGAACTCAAGTTTTCTCTTTTGTCCCACCTGGGCCAAAGATGACCCAGGAATTCTAAGCCAGGAACCCAAGGCGCAGGTGCCTCCTAAAACCCAAAGTTATCATCTCATGCGCACCCAGCCCCAGGGCAAGTCTGCCCTGCACTGAACGCCCCACTGCCTTTGGGCCATTCTTCCAGTGACAGAGGCAGCCTCTCCTGGTGTCTAATCCCAGAACTTGCAGCTACAGTCTTCAGCTGCATCCATCATGCTCCAGACCCAATTCCAAGGTCTGGAGAGGGACTGTCTGCTCACTCTACCCACCCTCCTGCCGGAACCCTGGAGGAGGAAACAGGTCGCAAATGGGATGTGACCTTCCGGGTCCCTGTAATGGAAAATCTCCGCTGCAGGCCCCAGAAGGGGTCAGTTATTTAGGGAATTCAGATGTGAGCCCTGTGCCCTGAGAGTGGATTTGCAGAAGGAGAAGTCGATAATCCCTCTGCAGGGAGTTCCCTCCGGAGCCAGAGAGGGACCCAGCCCAGCCAGCGGGTACCTTAGGCCTCTGAGCCAAAGCCCCATCCCCTCCCTCGGGTCCTCCTCCTTCCTTTTCCTTCAGAGCTTCCAGAACTGCCCCTGTTCTGCTGGCTTCCCTTCATTCCACCCCTGTGTCCAGAGAAAGGGGGATACTCCAGCAGGTGTCCTTTGCTCCTAGGAGAAAGTAAAGGCAGGATACTTTTCTTCTCTGCCCCTTCTGTTTCTCCTTCTCTTTGCTCCCCATTCTGTGACTCTTTCCTCAAGTGAGTAGCAATGATCCCCCGGACTAGCTGGCCCCGTCCTTGGTCATCTCTTCTACCCATTTCCATCTGGAATAAGGTTAAAGACAACACTCTCAGCCCAAGATGAGGCCCTCTATCCGTGCCCCAGGCTTCCTTCAGCAACTGACCAATACTTCACTGCAGGAGGCCTCTTTCTGTCTAACTTCCATCCTGCATGCTGCGGATTTGCCTTCCTTCACCTCTTGAGGGAAGGACGAAGCTGACTTGCCAACCTCTTCAACAGCTATGAAAGAAGAGTCATGTCCAGGGGCTGGAGTTGTAGCTCAGTGGTAGAGGGCTTGCCCCTCATGGGTGAGGCCCTGGGTTAGTGCTCTGCACCACATAAAAAAATAAATAAATAAACTCAAATAAAGATTAAAAAAAAAAAAAAAGAAGAGTCATGTCCACTCCATAAGCAAAATGCAGATATGTCATCAAATACCTGCTACTTTTGGATGCCATTTCCAGGAAGGCAGCCCCTCAGGTCCCATATCCCTTGCCCGCTCCTCCTCACCTGCCTCTTGACCCCAGAGTCTTGATTACCTTGGAAAACTGGGGTTACAGAAGGGCAAGTCTGGCGCTTGGGGAGACCCTCTCCCCTCTATTCCTGTCTTCCTGCTTTCCTTTGACTTCCACAAGCCCCCCCCCACCCAGATGCCTCAAATGTAAGGGCCATCCTCGGGTTCCAATTCTTACTTTATCTGGGCTTCAATATCCTCGCAGCCTCTACAGTGGAGGAAAGAGTCTCTGCTTCCCTTTCTGGATGGAAGGATGTGTACTCGGGAGACCTGAGTTCTGGTTCTTTACTCTCAGCTCAAATTGTTCAGTTCCTCTAAGCCTCAAGTTTTCTCACCTGGAAAAGTAGGAAGGGTTAGGCCACCACATGGCCTCTGGCAACCTGGCATCCGGAGCTGAGTGCTCCCTGAGGGGCACATTCCCCCACTCCCCTCCCTCCCTTCTCCTCCCTCCCTTGTGCTGCCGCAGGCCAGGGTGGGGGTGGGGGTTGAGGGGAGCCAGGGGGGCACTCCACAGCGGGGACAAAACGGACCATCAACAGACCAGTTGCTAAAGGGGCGGGAGGGGAGGAGTCCTCAGGGATCCTGTTTCAACAAACGTTTCTTTTTCGAGGAGGGGAAGGCGGGGGCGAGGGGGAGAGGGACCTATTTAAAGCTACCCTGTTGCTGCGGCTGTCTCTGTCTGTCTGCCAGGGTCTCCGGCTGCCCCAGACGGGTGGTGTGGGCTTGGGATCTTCCTGGTGACCTCTCCAGCCTAGGTCCCCTCAGCCACTCTGCCCCAAGATGGGTCGTGGGGTGAGTATCCCCAAAGAGCAGGGGCCACTCTCTGGAGGGTGAGGGAGGCAACCGAAAGAACGAGAAGTAGGAGTGGGAGGGAGGGGGCGAGAAGCTGACCAAGTGCGATAGTTTGAACTTGGAACTGAGTCTCCCAGCCACACACACGTACAGATCCCAGACACTGACAGTCAGGGGACACTGACACTCAGGGGCCTAAATGCCTCTTCT